AAGAAAGATATAACCACAATAAGCTAATATCACAGACTCATTAACTTAATTGGGTAATAGTAGGTCACTAATTAGTTAAAAGGGAGACTTTATTTCACAAGAATAACCACAAAATATAATGAAAGGGGTTTTATCATGGAGAAAATTGTGTCCTGTGCTTCTAAACCCTGGGGGTTTCTTATCAATAACAATCATATCATCATCATCTTTATGTTGCTTTGAACCGGAAAACATATCAGGGCAGATGAGCAGATGTTTTAATGTGGCTTCTGGGACTGAGGATGACAGAAAAAAGGGGGAAGAAGCAAAGAGTGAGAGACACACTGGAGGTGCAGGCCTGGATTCTCTAATAGAAGACAGGCTGCTCCATTTTCAGCCAAGCTCAGAGAAAATGAGCTCCTTTAATGAAAGCACACAACACACACACACACACACACACACAGGTATAATTTGAGTCCCAATTCCAAGTTGGGGAGAGGGATAAACCATAATATTCAGAGGATAGATTTGCCATGGCAACTAGTCTAGCCTGGAAACGGGGTCATGGTTTCTTATACAAAGCCTGAGATGCACTGAAGCAGAACAAGCACGTCTGCAAGAGACACTAAGTGTGTGTGTGTGTGTGTGTGTGTGTGTGTGTGTCTCAATACTCCCTGTCAACACTGAAGTCCTATGCTAGCAAAGAAAGCTGCTACTGATGATTATTAGTTTGCAATGCACTAAATATCTCTGGGCTTCTATTGCATGTGTGTGTCTCTATCTTTGTATTCACACAGAGGCAGAGCTGAGATTGGCACCAGATGCACTGACGTGCTTTACTTTCTCACACACAAACACCAGAAACATGTTTCGTTTGCCTCGACACACATTTACTGCAGAATGCACACAATTAATGAGGGATCAATTACTTGTACTTATGTTCATGTTGATGAAGGTTAATGAAGAAAACAATCCATTTTCATTAGGTTCCTGGGATGTTCTGGCAGTTCAGACTGCTATGCTCAGTCTGTGCTACATATTGGTGAATTCAAGTTACAATTTACAAGTTACAACCGTGATGAACTGTCTTTTCATTGAATTTTCTAGGAAACACATACTGTATGTAAGTAGATCTCATGTGACCCGGTGAGATTTGGTAATCAATTTATAAATGATTTTATAAAGATGATGCAAAGATGCTGAGACAGAGGGAG